TATATATATATATATACAAACACATATATATGGCAAGCAACATGGTGTTTTGATATATAGTCATGCACTGCATAAAGATATATATTTATTCACATATCTAAATTTTTATTTATTTATATAGACATAAATATATATATTTATATAAATATAAATATATTTATATGTACTTTTTATATATTTCTATATCAATTTATATAATTTATATATATAAATAAGCATAATATGTCATCTGATCATGGAAGTAACTTTGTATTAGCACACTCTACGATGTTTGCACAATGACAAAACACCTAACACGGTTTTTCTCAGAATATCCCTCCCTTCCTGCTGCACAAGCCTGTATGTATACATTGCGGAGTGACTAAATCAAACTATTTAATATGTGCGCATCATTTTTTTCTTTTTGTGATGAGATGGAAAGCTATTTTTATAGGCCTCTACTGAAATGATCACAAATGCTGATCTAGAAAAATCTGAATTAACTGAGGTTATATATTGTAGGCAAGAAGTGAAGGTCAGAACTGTCATTTTTGAATGGCTCACTCTCCTGAGTGACAATAACTGAGATTCAATAACCCTCCCTCCTTACCTAGCAAAATTATCAAAAGCAGTGACCACATTAACTGGAAGAGGACAGCTCCTGAAAGACCTTTGCTTTCTGAAGGGATACATGTTTATAGCCTCTGAGATTTTCAAATATTTTCAGTCGTGGGAATATTGTGTGTTCAAGGTGAGGTGATGTTGACTCCTTGCTCTCCACATATGAACTGAACTTTCTGGAGAGGGTGGGATGGGCCTGGTAAATAAATCCCCTGCCCATTCAGTAACTAGCAATGGCCACCAACTTTTTTTTCATGAAACATCTGTGGATAGCTTCGGTCTGTTTCATTATTAATCTTTTGGGAACCCTTGATGCCATCATACAAGTCATGCATATAAATTCCCTACCATAAAGTATGCTTAAAGCTGGCCTCATATTCAAAGGGTCTTGCAATTGATTTCCACACTATTCTCAGAGCTGAGTCTTAACATGACTGAGCTACCCACAGTAAAACAAGTTTTGAATGGGGGAAATCCACTTAGGATCAGGTACCCAGCACAGCACAGTATCCATGGTAGGCATTCAGTGAGGTCTACATGTCAGGATTTACCCCACCTTCCTTTTCCTTCTCTAAAGGAAAAGCTTTTTACCTTCTTCAAGAGGCAAGAAAATGACACAGTGACTGTCACCAGATCAGGTATACATCTGATCAGATGTGTATCCCTAGGTAGGGGAAAGCTTTCATGATCAAAAGCAATTTGGAAGGAGACTGGCTCAACTAGAAGATGCAATCCCTTTGATCCTTGTCCCTCCTTCTGCTCCCTGACTGTATAGTGGATATGAATACTGGCACTTCAGCAGCCATCTCAGCCTAGGAGGCAGCCTCAAAGATGGAAACTGTGTACTAGAGTCTGAAGTCAAAACAGGCAGTGATCACATCACAAAGCATCCATGACTGTCTTTCTTCCATAATGGTCACAAGTTTATTTCTTTATGAAATTTGATGTTGGGTAGAAATAGCCAAAACTGAGATCACTAGCCCCAGGTGGAAGGGCTCACCCTCTGCTGGGCCTTGGAAAGTGGTTAGTGCCCTGCAAAAAGAAAGGGGCCCATGGACAAGGCCTGAGGGAAGCCACATGGTCCCTAGGGCAGGACATCCCATCCCCTGACACTTTTGAGTTACTGACATACTGCTGCTAGTTGGTATCTTTGAACTCTTGGAAGATGATTTTTGTTTTTCATAGCTTTCATGAGTTTCTGTTTGTTTGGGGTGATTTTAAGTTATCAGAACAATGGAACTTACTCCAAAACTCCATGTACTTGCCTATTGGCAGGTTGTCAGTGCTACTAAAACATAGTTCTGAATAAACACCATACACATCAACTTGAAGTTTGACAAAAAGGCAAGTTTCATTCCCCATCCAAGATTCACTGAATCAGATTCTGAATCAGACTCAGGAATCAGGTCTCAGTGTGAGTTTTAACACACTGCCAAGTTATTCTTCTGTGCCCAAAAGTTTAATAAGCACCGATTTTCCAGTCCTTTCTCCCTTCTACCAGGATCAACTTGGAGAAGTAAGGGCTATGTTCCCAGTAAACACCACATTTCCCTCCCTCCAGGCAACATGGGGAGAGCAATGACGTCCATTTCAATACAACTAGGAGGGGTTTCAGAAAAGCAATTTTGAGGAAGGCTGGTTCAACTAGGGGGTGCAGCCCTTTTGCTCTGTCCTTCCTTCTGCTCCCTGTCTGAACAGACAACTCAGCCAATGAGGCAGTCTCAAAGATGAAAACTATATACTAGAGTCTGAAGTCAGAAGGAGCAGTTTCCCAATGATCATATCACAGAGAAGCCATGGTCACCTTTCCTCTATGTTCCCTTCATACAAGATAGAAATAAACCTTTAATTTATTATACTATTTGGGAGTTTGATTATATCCCATCCCATCTAATCTTCACTAAATCCCAATTGCTACATCAGTATAATCTCAGTTAGCAAAGATGCCAAGTAGAAAAGCCAGATGTGTAGATAGATACATCTTTTCCAGGGGTACTGGGAGCCTCACCTCACTAACCAATGTCCCACTCACATTCCTGAACCCTGTCCTTTCTTCCCTGCAAAGTTTGTGCAAAATCCCTTAAGTAAAAACCAATTAAGTCTGCAGAAAATTCATCTTTTCCCTTACCTGGTTCATAAGGACAAAAAACTGGCACATTCCTACATCAAAAGAGAACCTGGAGAGAGCAGGAGCCCACAGTCAGCTGGCCGGGAGTGGAGGGAGGTGGACAGGCCTCACAAGCAGGAGGTGCATTCTGCCCACTGAAGGCCTGCACTGTGCTATGACAATAGCCATCTCACCACCCATGTATGTGGAACAAGGCAAGGGAATGACCAGGTTTTTCACCACCGTAACCCTGCGGTCTAGCACAGACAGTGGTGTGCAGTAGTAGCTCAATGAGGAGTTGCAGAAGGAAGGGAGGGAGGGAGGAAGGGAGGGATGGGGGAAGAGAGAGAATGAGAGAAAAAACAATAGAAAAAAGAAAGAAGGAAGGAAGGAAGGAAGGAAAAGAAAGAAGGAAAGACGGAAGGGGGGGCAGGGAGAGGTGGCTAGGTAGATAGATGAATTCTCATTGCTTCATGATTTTGCTGATCCTTCCAACTAGTTTTAGTTAAAGCAATGATGTGAATTTTCAGTGAATGGTCCAGGAGAACAGAGGGCATATTTATATTGGGGGGAACCATGAATTGATGTGTCCTCCTTCCCTGCACAGAAAAAAAAAGGTGGTTTAAATAAAGAATTTGGGAAAACAGAAGAGTAAACATTTGAACCACTCAGATTGAGGGTAGAAAGGTGTTGTGAAAATTTTCTCTTTTCCCTGCTCACCTGTTAATGAAGAGGACTGCAAGGGTGGCTCGAGGTATCACAGGACCTAAGCATTATCTCCAGAACTGAAAACACTTAATGGAGCCAGTTTTATTCTGTTTTAAGTTTCTGGAGCTTTCTGATAAAGTGTAGCACTTTACAGTCTTTAAGCTTGCTGTGAATCAACTCAGTGAGCTAGTTCTTGCAGACAGATTTTCTCCTGGTCTGCAAGTTCACCTCCAATGGTGGGAACTTCCAGTTCCCTGTCACTTCTGCTGCTAGACAGATGGAAACCCTGCTCCTTTTTCCCTGAAGTCAAAATTTAAATCTATTCCTTACCCTTGCCAGGGTGGTTTGCCCCGGCTTCCTCCCCCCATCCACTGTCCTGTTCATATTCCAATCTAGATGTCAGGTAAGAGCTTTCCTAGAACATTGAAGAAAGATTTATTGAACTACCATTTTATTCTCTAACTCCCATGTTAATGGCCTGCGTTTCAAAAGCCCTGAACCAGGACCCATAGCAGAGATGCTCATGGGTCCTGACCATCATAACAAATATGCATTATGTTTTACTGCTAAAACAAGTAACAAGAATAGACACTTTGAAGAACAGTAGCTACACATCCCATCCCCCACCCCCAATTCCTGCTGTTTTATTCTCACCTACAAAGAGCCTTTCAGAGGTCATAGAACACTTTTGTATTGTTTCTGGTAAACAGCAAAATCAAATGCCTGTACTGAAGCCCAGGAACTTGAGCTTCATAAGTGACCTGTGTCCAAGAGAAGAGTGACCATTCCACCTACACAAAGAAAAGGGCCGGAATTAAAGGAAACTCCCTGCAGCAAGTTCAATGGCTATAAGAAATTTTGCTTGCATCTCACTTAATCAGACCAAATTTCTTGAGAACTCAGACACCAAGTTCACCCAAAATGTGGCTGAAATTCTGGCAATATTTGCAGTACCACTTGTGGAAATAAAACCCAAAGAAAGTTATGTACAAACAGTTTACAGAATACCTAGCCCATTAAATTTCTTTGAATAGAGCAAAACAGGAATAAATATCATTCTTAAATGTATCACCTCATCATCATGGAAAAGTGAGGACACTCAGGGAGCAGAGTGGTTCTCTCTATACATTGTTTATTTGGTTTTCTATATCAGAATATCTTCAGTGCTATTGTGCCAGATTTCAAATGGAAAATATGATAAGTGATACTTTGAAATGCAAAAATATATGGGTACTATTTTTCAATAATTGTGTGATGATGCTAACTTCTAGCCAAGTTGATTTGTTAAGTCATTGGGCTCCTTGATGAATGAACTTAGATGTTTCTTACCCTCAAACTCATTCTGAAATGCAAATAAGTCCTTGCATCTCAGGAAAACACACAGTCCTTGCTCAGTGTGTGTCCTCACTCGAGGCTCCACCCCCTGCCTTGAGCTAGGAAGACCTGAAGCCAAGCACACAGCTTTGGCATCTTAAGGGTGGCAATGGCACCCCCAAATCAGTCACCTGAGTTACAAACATATTGACAGCTGAAGTATGTCCTAAACTAGGAATCACAAAATCAACTTCTCCTGCTGGGCTGTCCAAGGTGTCTTGTGGACAGTGGTAGGCAGGAAGTATGGCTGTGTTAAGTTTCCTGGACAAGATCCTTTCCATCTTTCCTTTGCCTGTAGGTCGTTCACATCAGAACCTGTTCACGAGTCTCTGGCAATCGAAGGGCAATCAGGCCACCTCCAACCAGAGAAGCAGCAGCCAGAAGGATGGGGACCACTTTGGTTATCCCAACGAAAGAAGCAAAGATAGTGTTTCCCAAGATGGCGCCAAATTTGCATAATCCATTGAGGATGCCAAAGGCTGTTGCCCTGCAAAAGAAGAGGAAAGTAAATAATCCTGAAATTCTAGACCTGATTAGATGAATAAGGCTGGGTTATTTCCTTGTTGCAAGAGGAGGAAGTGTGGGAGAGAATTGTTTCCTAAATATAAAAGCAACACATTCTCATTTTCATCAAAACAGGAAATACAGAATAATATGAAGTTGTAAGGGATGTCTAATGAAATCACTACTTGGAGTATTGCCTTTGAGCTCTTATTATCTTCTCAAATATATCATGTCTTAAAATGTTTACAGGCAAATTTTGCTAATTTTGAAATACTGAAAGAATAAAAGCTATATCCAAAGCAGAAAGTGCAAGTGTTCCCCCTTCATAACACCTTCTTGTAGCAAAAACTGCTAGTTGTTCCTACATGTTCTTTCTTCAAATGTAAGATTACATTTCCCAGACTCCTTTGCTGCTGCTGCTGGCCATGTTACTTAGTTTTGGCCAATGAGATGTAAGTTCAAGTGGCAGCTACTGAAAAACTTCCTAAGAGAGGTCATGAGTAGGCCTTTGGTCTGCCTTCCCTCGTGTTTTTTTCTTTCTATCCTGCCTCCTAGAACAAAGATGGTCTCATCCTGGAGAAACCAAGCAAGAGAGAACAACAACCTAAGATTCTGAACTGCCTGTTGTATAGCTCTATAGAAGAGAAGACCATGGTTATTTGGGATCCTGATTACTATCCCTCAATGACACTCTCTTAATTATTATTAACCACTCATCCTGTCATGACCCCATCTTCTACAGGCACCATATTCCACATTATCACTTTCTAACTAAAGTCAAATGTTTCTTTTCCATACCAAAAGTTTAATAATGTCGGTATGTTTTTATACTTCAAATTCTTTACATATTTCTATCTTTAACTAGACCAAACTGTAGCTTTATAGTTAGCAGCACCCAATCCTACTCGCTTTGATTTTAGCATTTTCTTATATTTTTCACATGCATGTTTTTCCAAATAAATGTTAGAATAATTTTTCCAAGTTCCCAGGGGGAAAACATTTCATTGAATTTTGAATACACTCTTGTAAGTTAGAGGAAACTAAATGAAATTTGGCATTTTATATGACTGAATCATCCAAAATGAAGTGTATCTTGATATATATTTAAATCTTTTATATCTTCAAAGACATTTATGGTTTTATTAGTTGTGTTTCAAATTTATCCCTAGGTATTTTATGATCTCAGCTATTATCCACTGGACTATCAAAAGTTAAAAATTGCATTTGTAACTCTTTCAATCTTTTTAAAAACCTATGTTATTAAATTGGTTTATTAATGACAATGTATGCAAACTGTTATTGTTTCTAATTGTCTCTTTACTTCATTCTCTTATATTTCCTAGATATAAGATAACATCCCATTCAAATAATCATTTTTCCTCCTGTTATTTTTTTTAAAAACTTAATGGTTTTTCGTTCAGGATAGTGGGGCTCCAAATTTGGTATGCCATAATATTCTATAGCAACCCAAATCCCAGTACTGCTATCACTAACTTTGGGAACATCATTCAGACATTTTTCAGACTTTCATTTGCTCATCTTTCACATGACTTCACATTTCTTTTTGGCTACAGAACCACTTAAGTGCTGTCCTTAAAGTTCACAATTCCCTCTCCATGCAGAGAAACAACTACAAGGAATGGCCTTGACCCTATGCCTTTAAACCAGGCTCTTTCCCATATGGCTTGCAGAAAATAGAAGTAGACCCTGGGCATCCAAATTTCCTGAACCCTCATGCCTTGTTCCCACCTGTTCTTCTCTTGACCTCTACCCTGAATTATTCTAGTTCACCTTTTCCCTTTATCCCAGTGGCAAGCCCATTCTTACTTCTCTTGAGGAGTACAAGGCACAGAAGGTTTTTTCACTGTTATCCCCTCTTTCTTGAGCATAGTTTTCTCTTGTACTTTGCCATCTACCCCAACTATCAATCCCCTGACCTCCACCATCCCTCATGCAGGGAAACTGAATAACCCGAGATGCTTGGTGCATGAAACACCAGGGAAACCAAGATGGCTGTGCCTGGTTCAGGAGTTAGTGGGAAGCAGCCTTCTGGCCAAAGAAGTCTGAACAAGTCCTAGAGGGGAGCCAAAGGAAGAACTGACCTCTGGTTAGTGGGATACAGCTCTACTGTGATCACATCTAGGGCATTCCAGGCTGCAATGCTGGTCCCACAGAACAGGCATTGCCAGCCAATCATTGCAGACTCACTATTGCCAAAAAACAGGAAGAAGCAGCAGACAGCTGAGATTAGCATGGAGCCACCTGTGGAGGAAGGTCAAGGACAGAAGAAGCATGAAGATCATGTCTTGAACAAGGCCATCACCCACAAGAATAGCCCCATCTCATATCCTCATAGCCACACCAGATGAGTTACCTGAGGAATGAGGTCCATCCCACACACAGAGAGAGCACAGTCTCAACCACACATGGCATCCCAGCCATGGGACTGGAGCCCTTTGCATGGATCAGCTCACTGCAGTTTACCCCCAGGAAGGACTGTGGACTTGCCTCTCTATGGCCCTCCCCAGCCCAAAACACTGGGAATGGGGCTGATGGAGGGGGTTGTTGACAATCTGTTATGTGTCAGGTATTATTCTAGTTGCTTGAGAGATAAATATCAGTCAAAAAAACCCACTGTATGTTTGAAATAAGTAGGTCAAAGAGATAGCTTCCCTCCTGTGTTCATCAGCACTATTCACAATAGCCAAGACAAAGAATAAATTTTGAGGCCATAAAACATGTGCAGGGTGAAATTTACATTACCACAGCATAATTCACCAACACTCCAGGTTTCCTATGAAAATGTCCATCAGCGGATGAAAAGAAAAAGAAAATGTGGTATATAGAGAGAGAGACAGTGAATATTATTCAGTCCCAAAGAAGAATGGAATATCCTTTGAAGCAAAATAGATGGAACTGGCGGATACTACCTCTGTTAAGTGAAATAAGCCAGATGCAGAGAGACAAATACTACATGATCTCACCTATATGTAGAATTTTTAAAAAGTGGAACCCAAAGTGGAAAGTATAACTGGGATTTACCATGGACTAGGGGAGTGGGGCTGGAATAGGGAGACGTTGGTCAAAGGATACAAAGTTTCAGTTAGATAGAGGAAGAAGTCTTTGAGCTCCTTTGCTCAGTAGAGTGATTACGGTTAGTAACACTGTGTTACCTACTTCAGAACTGCTGACAGTGGAAACTTCAAATGCCTCCCCACGAAAGGGAAGAATGTGAGGTGATGGATAACATGCATTCATTTGATTTAATCACTTCTCTTGTATATATCATAACATCACTTTGTACGCCGCTGTAGATGCAAATATAATTTTTAATTAAAAAATTTTAATATGATTTTTAATTTTTAAAGAAATGTCAAAAATAAATTTAAGAAAAAACTACATTCCGGTAGGAATACCTGTGAACATGCTACCCAAAAGAAACCTCCAGAAGGTTCATGCTGTTCCTTCCCCACTTACCCCTGCTACAGTTTGAATTTTATTTTATTATTTTATTTTATTTCATTTTAGTGGTACTGGGTTTTGAACTCAGGGCCTCATCCTTGCCAGGCAGGCAGTCTATCATCTGAACCACACCCCCAGACATTTTTACTTTAGTTACTTTTCAAAGAGTCCTGCATTCTTTACCCAGGGCCAGCCTCAATCCATGATCCTTCCTCCTTAATGTCTCCTTCATAGCCGAGATTACAAGTACATGACACCACATTCAGCCTGTGTGTTGAAAAAGTGTGTATTACTCACTTTTTGCCCAGGCTGGCCTCAAACAATCATCCTATGATCTCTACCTCTTAAGTAGTTGGGATTACAGGCATGAACTATATGCCTAGCCTGGTTTGAATTTTAAACATCCACTGAGGGAATGCAAACTAGTACAACCACTCTGGAAAAAAATTTGGAGGCTTTAAAAACCTAAACATAGATCTGCCATATGATCAAGCAATACCACTCTTGGGGATATACCCAAAAGACTGTGACACAGGTTACTCCCGAGGCACCTGCACACCCATGTTTATTGCAGCACTATTCACAATAGCCAAGTTATGGAAATAGCCAAGATGCCCCACTACAGACAAGTGGATTAAGAAAATGTGGTATTTATACACAATGGAATACTATTCAGCCATGAAGAAGAATGAAATCTTATCATTTGCAGGTAAATGGATGGAACTGGAGAACATCATCCTGAATGAGGTTAGCCTGGCCCAGAAGACCAAAAATCATATGTTCTCCCTCATATGTGGACACTAGATCAAGGGCAAACACAACAAGGGGATTGGACTTTGAGCTCATGATGAGGCGAGAGCACACAAGGGAGGTGTGAGGATAGTCAAGAAACCCCCAAAAAACAAGATAGCATTTGATGTCCTCAAAGCAAAGGAACTAATGCAGAAACTTTAAAGCGACAGAGGCCAATAGGAGAAGGGGACCAGGAACTACAGAAAAGGTTAGTTCGAGAAGAATTAATGTAGAATGTAACACATATGCACAAGAAAGCAATGTGAATAAACTCCCTGTATCCTTATCTCATCTAGCAAAAACCCTTGGTCCTTCCTATTATTGCTTATACTCTCTCTTCAACAAAACTAGAAATAAGGGCAAAATACTTTCTGCCTGGTAGTAAGGGATGGGGGGAATGGGGAGCGGGGTGGGAGGAAGGGAAGAGAAATGACCCAAACATTGTATGCACATATGCATAGAAGAAATTTTTAAAATAATTAAAAAATAATAAATGTTCACCAAAAGCTCATGTCTAGAAGGCTTGGTCCCCAGTGCAGCAGTGTTCAGACACACATTATCAGTTGAGAGAAAGGGGGTCTGGGGCACTTCTCCCCAGCCCCTACCCTGCTTCAACAGCCCCTTTTCTGGCAGTGGCTGCACCCGTCCGGGACCCCAGCTCTTGTCCAAGCCCCATTCAGTTCTGTTAGTACTACTGTCTCCCCCCTACTGTGTCACCCTGCCACCATGGTGTATGGACTGCCTCCCACTGTTGCTAGTATCCGAGTCTCTCAGCTCCCTTATTTGTTCTCAGAAACCTTCCAACACCTTAAAGATAACCCATCATTACAGTCTCTTTACTGGATCATCTGGAGAGAATTCTTCTCCTACCAGGACTCCAGCTGATGGAGTTAATGATAAGAGATCCTATCAAAAAAGAAAAGAAAGACCATGCTAGGTGCAGTGGGTCACCCTGACAATCCCAGCCACTCAGGAGGCAGAGATCAGGAGGGTCACAGTCCAAGGCCATCTCAACAAACAAGCCAGGCGTGGTGATATGCACCTGCAATAGGAGGCATACCTGTGTGACCTTGACTGAGCCACTTAGCCTCTCCATGCTATCTCACTTTTCCCATCTGTAAAATGTTGATTAAAAATAGTTCCTGCATCATAGGGTTGCGGAGGGAGTTCAATGTGTTGAGATTTATGAAATGCCTGGACCACAGCCTGGCTCATATTAAGCATTTCAGTGTTTGTTAAGTGAAATCTCTAACTTATGTCTGCCTCTTATGATCTATCATTTGCCTTTTGAGCATGGGGATGTTGACATTCTCAGTGACTGCTGTGTCCCACTCCTTCTTGCAAAGTCACACACAGAATGGCTACTGCATAAATAAGTGTTTATTGAATGAATAAGTGAGTGAGTAACAGCCTCATTCAAAAAACTACTGTGCCACTGTTAATAAGAAATGACTTCCACCCAGCCAAGAGCCCAGCAGCAGAGTGAGCAGGACAAACCTGCTCCAGCAGGTTCCACAGTAATCTGACGGCCATGGGAAATGCCACATCCCATAGTGACAATGTGCAGTGGATATTTATTGAGCATCTAGGATTTACTGAATGCCGAGAATATCACTGCTGACCCACAGGATGCCAGGCCCTCCCCTAAACACTGATAGTCACAGAGACAAAGAAGATACTGTCTGAGCGGTTAATGAGCTTACGACCAGCTCAGAACACAGCAGAGACATCAGTTAGGATCAGGCAGTGGCTCACACCTGTAATCCTAGCTAATCAGGAGGCAGAGATCAGCAGGATTGCAGTTCAAAACCAACCCAGGCAAAAAGTTTATAAGACCCCATCTCAACAAATGCAGGTGCAGTGGTGCACACCTGTCATCCAAGCTACATGGGAAGCATGCATAAGAGTATCACAGACCGGGCCAGCCTGGACAAAAAGTGAGACTCCCCCACCACCATCTCAAAAATAATCAATACAAAAAGAACTAGTGGAGCAGCTCAAGTGCTAGAGTGCCTGTTTAGCAAGTGTGAGGCCCTGAGTTCAAACCCCAGTACCATCAAGAAAGAAAGAAAGAAGGAAGGAAGGAAGAGGGAGGGAGGAAGGGAAGGAAAGAGAGAGAAAGAAGGAAGAAAGAGGGAGAAAGAAAGAGGGAGGGAGGGAAGAAGAAAGGAGGGAAGGGGAGGAGGAAGGACAGAAAGAAGGAAGGAAGGAAGAAAGGGAGGGAGGGAAGAAGGGAAGGAAAGAGAGAAAGAAGGAAAGAAAGAGAGAGAGAAAGAAAGAAAGAGAGAGAAATAGAAAGAAAGAAAGAAAGAAAGAAAGAAAAGAAAAGATAAATTACTAAGTGATAGTCCTAGGCCTCTAATTTAAATAGTGGGCAGGCTTTTATTAGGCAGACAAAAATCAGTTGTGACTGGGATGCGTGCAGATGACAAGAGGTGCTTCACAACAAGAAAGATATCCTCTCTGCCCAGCCTTGCCTGGGATCGTGTGGCTTGTCATACACACACTCCACCCCAACCTGCAGACCCTGCCTCCCCCAGGCTTTCCTCAGCTATATCAAGACTTGGCCATAGACTCTGGACTCAGGAGGCTAGTGACAACATGGCAGAAGTGTCACCCCTCTGCTGTCTTTATCTCATTTGTGCAAATAGAGATGTTATTTTAATAGCGATAGAGTGGAAGCTGAGAGAAGGAAAAGAAGCTGTACACACTTAAAAGCTCAGCCTGGCAGAGACGACCCCCTGGGTCTTCCAGGGCACCATCCCACAGTGCCTTCTGGTGACAGCCTAGCACTTCCAGCCATTGTAGCACCAGGGCCATCTTACTGGCTCTGATGAGTCCAGCATCATTACCAAAGTCAGCTCTATGGTGGTCACGGAGCTTGGCCTTGAGGTTACAGAAATTAGTGTGCCCCTGTCCCTTTTCTCCTGTGACTTCAGGACTGATGAGTGCCCTGCTTCTAACAGAGATAGAGCTTAGTCAGCCACACCTGCAAGATCACTCTTCACCCTCCCCAAGAGATTAAAAGGCTGAAATCACAGGCATTTCTTGTGCCCTCCATTCTGAATATTCACGCTCCTTTTTATAATAATAATATTCAACATGAGTCAAATGCCAGGAAAAGATTTCCTCCCCATGAAGACCTGATCAGTTTTCTCTTCTCCAACAAAGTGACTGTGATTTCTTTGTTTCCTTTTGAGTTTTGCTACTAGAAAACTTGGTATTAATTGTTCTGATCTACAACACCCCTAAGACAGACCCTTACTGACATTTTTATTAATATGCCTCCTGCTTGCCCACCCCTGGCTTTTACTCATATTCTAACACACATTCTCCCTCGCCCTCAGTGTAGACGTTTTGCTTCTGTAACAAATGGCTGCAAATCCTGATAGAATGAAGCTAGGCACATATGGATATAGCCACCATTTTTAAAGAACCTCATAAAACCCTTCCAGCTGTCTATAGGTATCCTCATAAACAAGTAAGTCAAGTCCAGATGCAGTGATTCACACCTGCAATCCCAGCTACTTGGGAGGCAGGGATAGGAGAACCACAGTTTGAGGCCAGCCTGGGTAAAAAGTTAATGAGACACTATCTCAAAGAACAAGCCAGGATTCGTGGTGGCATGCCCTGCAATGCCAGCTACGTGGTAGGAATAGGTAGGAGGATCAAGGTCCATGGTCAGTTCTGAGCAAAAGTGAGAGTTACTATCTAAAAAAATCAAATAAGGGCGGGGAGGATCGTTGCTCAAGTGGTAGAGCATCTGCCTAGCAAGTACAAGGCCCTGAGGTCAAATCCCAGTGCTGCAAATAAATGAAAGAAAGAAGGAAGGAAGGAAGGAAAGAAGGAAGGAGGGAAGGAAGAAAAACCTAGAGAAGTAAAGAACATGTTCAAAGTCAAACAGCAGTTAGGTGAGATTTCAGCATGGGTCTGTCCAACTCCAAAGCCCAAAGTGTTATTAACTATTAAATAACAAAAGTAATATCTATGTTAAATCATCAAACTTCCAAGAACATTTTCTATTTTTTTCATAGTAATCTTACACAGCAAATAGAGTGGATAGATTTTAATATCCTTATGGAAACGCTAATAAAACAAGACTGGAAATGACAGAGTCACTCCCCAGACCAGAGCTATCCAGAAGCCTCCCAGGCTCTGGTAACAGTAGACTCCATCTTTCCTGGTAGGTTTCTCATGCATGATTTCTTTAAGGAAAAAAAAAAATCATTCTACTACTTCGATGCCCTTAAGAGCCACTGTCCTAGCTCAGGGAAGCCCGGTTGCCCCATCTCCAGCAACTCACCCATCATCTTGAGTCTTCCAACTCTATCCATGAGCAGGGCAGAAACGATATTCCCAGGCAACACAGACAGGCTGCCCAGGAAGCTGACGAGGTAAATCAGGAAGTCATTGTCCTCCTCAAAGTCCATGTGGCAGCCCTCCTTCTGCTCCAGAAAGGTGGAGTTGATGAACCGACAGTTGATGAACTTGTGTTTGTAGAGATCTGGGGAGAGAAGGAAACTTTTGGTTCATGAGTGGGCGGGGCATAGGCAGGAATAAAGTCATGCCCCTTCCATGGACAGGCTATGACCTCAAAGTCAGGATGACATATGTCTAAGAATGGATGAATAGAAATACTCCCAAAAATGTAATGACCTACTGAAGCTCCCATAACAAGAAGAAATAAAGCTAACAATGTAAGGGACATTTTTAGATACATCATCTCTCCAGTTGGATAACAGTCCTATTTGTACCAATCAGGTGACATTGAAGGCCATAGTGACTGGGCTGCTCAGCTACCCAGTGTAGGGAAGCAAAACACCAAAGAGTTAGGTCCAGGCTAAGCCATCCACTGCAGAGCCCAGGTTACAGTCTGCAGAAACCCGAACAATCTTAAAAATAACATTTGCTATAGAAACAGTCCACATCTTCTCACACCTTCAAAGACCAGCTGTCCTTGCAGAAAAGATCTACATAGAGAAAGGTGGGTTTGGAGAGCTGACTCTGCCACTAACCTTTTAAAATTTTCCTGTGACTCTGTCTATAAAATTAAAGCCATACACCTGATTACCTCCATTACTTCTCTGAGCTCTGACATTACCTGACTACAATTGTTTGCAAAAATCTCAGGTTCAGAGTTTGCAAATGAAGAGGCATCATTAAAACTTAAAAGAATAAAAAGATATGCCAGTTTTCACTGACAAATAGTCAATTTCTTAGACTCATTATTTTTTAAGGTCAAGCTAACAAGAAATTCAGGAAGGCAAGTCTCTGAAAGGATTATTAATGAGGGATATTTAGAGACAGTATTAAAAGTGTTGAGGCTGAGATCAAGGAGGAAAAAGACGTTCTTATATATATAAACTATCTCTCGGTGCTGATGCCAGGGAGAAGGCCTAAATCAGGAAATAATGCAAGCCATTGAGGAATGGATCCTAGCTCTGTCGCCTTGCTAGCTGTGACCTTGGTAAGTTGTTGTAGTTTGTTTCCTTAGCTTAAGATGGGTATAATAATAGTACTTGTCTCAAATGAGACAAAGTGGGTGACACCCTGCTAAAGCTCGGTTAGTTTCCTTATGTCCAACTGCACTTGGCACGATGTTAATCTATGATGAAAGGAGGAGGAGTAACAAGGAGTGGTGGAGTAGGGAAATGTTGTGGGTTTTGTTTTCTTTTTTTAATCATGGAATCAGAAATAGTCTGATTGTAAGATACTCTTAGCATCTGGCTTTATGCATAAAGTCTAAACAGGGGTAATTTTCCTTTTTCATTTATCATCCCAAAAGCACAGTTTTGGATTGTGCAAGGTTCAAATTATACATCATATGCAACCACAGATCATCATGTTAAGTGAAATCACTAACCCAGACTGAGAAAGACAAATGTCACATGTTCTTTCTTCAATGCAGAATCTAGACCTTTAAAAAATGGATGAGAGAAGTGTAGAATGGGGACTACTCAGCAGTGGGGATTAGTGCACTAGAGTGAAAAGAGAGGATGAAGATGGGGGGTGAATATGACCAAAGTACTTTATATACATGTATGAAAATAAAATAATGAACTGGTCTCTAGTGGCTCATGCTTGCAATCCTAGCTACTTGAGAGGCTGAGATCAGGAGGATCGTGGTTCAAGGTCAGTCCAGACAAATAATGTGAGAGACTCCATTTCCAAAATAACTGGAGCAAAATGGGCTGGAGGTATAGCTCAAGCAGTAGAGTGCCTGCTTTGCAACATGAAACCCCAAGTTCAAACCCCAGTCCCACCAATAAATAGAATAATGAAACCTGTTAAATTTGTTTAAAAAGTGGTTGGGGGGGAATAAGAAAGAGTAATACAATGAGTGAATTTGATCAAAGTACATTATATACATGTATGGAAATATCACAATGAAACCCCTTTGTACAATTAATACATCCTAATAAAAACTAGAAAAATAAATAAATAAATGTCAAAAAAAAGAATAGCCATACGTAAAATGCAGCCCTGTTAGGATGCTGGTTTTTACTGGTGTCATGCATTGTTCCTACCAAAGACCCTTAAGCATATAGCATCAGTTTCATTCAGATGAGAACACGTGGTCAGAACTTGGGCTTCTATTTTCTATGTGATAAAAAGCTGAGATGCAAATAAATTAAATGCTTGGGTGAACGCTCTGCATCTAACTTATGCCATCCCTGGGGCTGGAATCCATTTCTGTACGCTGAGCCTTGGCACTGGTATCTATGAATACCGCCCTCCTCCTGAAGCTCCTGACTGTGTGTATTGGTTCTTAAGACACCAGCCCACCCTGTTGCATTCTACCCAATCTCCTGTGTTCTTACCTGTGTTATAAAAAAAGGTTGATTCAATGGTGCAGTTTTTAAAATAGGTATCAGTAGATGTAACGTCTTCAAAGTAGCACTTGTCAAAGTACGTATCCTCAAAGAGTACATGTTTAAAGTACATCTTTGTGAACCTGTGGAGAAAGACATTATCACTAGGTGATTCATCCAAGGCAAAAAAAAGGAGAATTGAGCTGAAGTGGAAAAGACAAAAGCAAAAACAAGAAGAGCTGCCCAAGAAAAGGCTCCAGACCATCATTTTCAAGGCAGACCAGTTTCCCATCACTTCGCTGTTTATTCACAGGACTGGCTTCAGGTCCGTGGACAATGGTGTCTAGTCCAGGTACGTAAGGAGGACTATGTGCCAACCTGATGGTCCCCAAGTGAAAGTTCATGCGCCTTCTGCCTCAAAATGACAGAAATGTAAACTAGTATGCAATGAAAGTCTGGACATGTCACTTTCTCAGGAGCCTTAAAAACATGCAGGTACCTAGATTGACCCTATAAGGTCTGAAAGCAATAGATTTGTAAAGGCCTTTGAATTTTCAGTTTTAAATTTACTCATCAAAGATGTTGAGAAATGGGCACTGTCAATCACCCCAATGGTAGAATTTAAACAATGCAGCCTCTTCAGAGAGCAATTCTGCAAAATTTAAAATACACATTCCAAGGAATGGTGGTGCACACCTGTAATACCAGCACTTAGGAGACTGAGGCAGGAGGATTGCAAGTTTAAGGCCAGCCTGGGGTACATAGAGAATTTGAAACCAGTTTGGTCTTGAATTTTAAGACCCTGTCTCAAAAAATAAATAAATAAATAAATAAAATGAATAAAATACACATTCTCTTTGACCTAAGAATACCAGCTGAAATACCAGTAGAAATTTTGTCCTACATACATTTGCTCATTTATTCAAAGAGATACATTTATGGCCTTCAATGCATTATTGTTTATAATGGCAATGGATTACTACATACATACATATATACATGCATGCAAACATAAATAATAGATAGATGGACAGACAGATGACAGATACATACATACATATATATATATATATATATATATATATATATATATACGATAGATAGATGTGATGAGGACAGAAATGAGATAAACATAATGGTCACTTTATACCAAGTGCATCTGTTACTTTTTCACTTACAATCATTTAGTCAATGAGTGGGGAAGGCACCTAGATAATTATGAGGAACAGATGCACTTTGGAGACACTTGCAGTGCTCTGATTCTTGCATTAATTTAGGGGATAGAACAATAATACATTTACAAATCTATCTCACATCTGTTAACATTACTCTGTTGCTTAGTCAAATTTTTAGGCTGGAAGCCATTGGATAAATCTTCTTTTATGAACAATTACAACCCTTTTATTCATTTATCTATTTGTTAATTTACATATTCAATTTAATTCATTAATTTTTTTCATTTATTTTCATATTCAGTCTTCAGAAAACACCCAGCATGGTTCTTCGTGCTGTAGGTACAGAGAAGAAATCATGGTCCCTGTCCTCCTGTCTATGTGGAAAAAACAAACAAGCGGTCAGACAACTGTAATACAGTGGAAATTATAGGGATAGAGTAGTGCCAGGCATTCTGGGCATTATTCTTCTCCAGGGCCCTGAGATAATTCACTCCCTGTCCACATATATTGGCCATTACCCAGCATCCTTTATGCTACACCCTATACCACGTTCTGCTCAGAGCCTCCTAGAGCCACATATCATTAGCTTCTACAAGAAAACCTCCCACCCAATAAGACCTGGGCAAGTGCTTGTCAAAGAGATCCCCAGACCACCTGCCACAGAGTGAATAGGTGTTGTTAAAGAACCCAGGTCCTACTTTCCAACCTTGCCTCTTGAGCCATAATCACCTAGACAGAGACCAGATTTTTATACTTGCAAAAATTTGAGAATTGCTGGTCTAGAAAAATCAAATTATTTTAAATAATCTTTCCTAAGAGCAAACTTGCTATAGACAGTTAAACTGGGGCCTCCAAAAACTGTCCTAAGTTCTTCAAGTTTCCATAGAAAAACTAATTAGTAATCATTTTATTACAGGAAGATGCCTGTGATTTCAAAATTTGCATGTCAGATGTGTTTATTCAAAATGGCTATTCCTGGGGACTGTCTCGGGCCATTTTCTTAATTTATCCTTCTCTTTAATATAATAATAGGCTGGTAATGTGGCCTTTGGTGATATTTTAATATTCTTCTAAGGGTAGGTAAGAAAACAGCCATAAATCACAAATGAGTCTGACACAGGCAGACCTTAAAAATGTATCTCCAAATGGGCTATAAAAAGCCAAAGTTATAAGGGAAGAGGTAAAAGGAGAAAGGATCAACACATATTTTATGAGTCCTTTGATAAATCATCTCTAATCTCTAATTCATATACTGAATGTGACCAATGCTATTCATTCAAGAGAGTTCAGAGGCTGAAAGAAAAGTTAGCAAAAGTCTGAGTATCTACTTATCCTTTAAAAAAAAAGGAAGCCACTGGTGACCCTGAGGTTCTATGACAGGATTATCATTACAAATACTTCATGTCAGCTCTACCTGGTGATCTAAACCACTCCAAAGTCACTTATCTGGTCACCATGTTTAGGTTTAGTGGTATCACCCCCAACAAACTCAGTCTAATGGAAGAGGTAATGAGAAGCTGGTGATTAAAATCTAGTGTGGTAATTACCAAGATAAGCACCAGGTGACATCCTGAGAGACAGAAAAGCTCTCTAAGAGGAGGAAGTGCAATCCAGGCAGAAGGAACAGCAGGTATAAGGTAGAGTACAATCCCAAAACCCTGGCTTGCCTTCTTTTTAAAGTAGAAATTCTCTTTCACATAAATTACAACTGCCACCCCATCTACCACATGGTCACATATATCAGCTCCTACTCTGAAGGAAAGCAAACCAGAGGGTCCTTTACTTCACAAAACATGTTCTTGGGCCCAATTTGCTTAAAGAACAGGGGAAGCAAATTCTTGCCTGATGCGCTACATAGCTTGTTACCTTCTCCAAATGTAGACACCAGGTCTTTACCCCAACTTTGATGCCATTCTCCCAAAGCTGAAGAGCCCAGCTTTCAGGACTTAACCACCAACAGATCTCAAGCAAGTCTGCTCTCCTGCCTAGGCCAGCATTTAAAGATTTGGAAAACAGGTGTGAAGAGGAGCTAGCCTTTTCCAGCTTTAGGATACAGTTCTACACTCAGGCATGCCTAAACTGTGTGTATCCCTGAGGAAGAAATCAGTAAATGGACTTAGGCAATGGCTGACTTCTGCAAATTCTGAAATATTATTTCATAGAGAACGAGAAAATGTTTATGATGGGAAATCCTAGTGCCAATGTCAATCAGATATGCTGCTGAAGGACATATATTTTTGTATCTCAGTGGATCTGGCAGTAAATCCAACTTCCTCTCCCCTTCTCTTACAAGTGCTAAAATCATCATCTTTACACTTTCCCTTTTCAAAGACCCTCGCACATGTACTGCCTTTGGGACTAATAACTGAGGCAGAATCCAAAAGCTGTAACATAAGAAAAAAAGGAAATAATGAAAATAAAAGCAATTGCTAAATTAGCATCAGTAGAACAAGTTCATATATAAATATTGTTGCATGTGTCCTAAGTAAAAAAACAAAACAAAAAACTAATTATTGCAAACTCTAGAAATAACCCAAAATCCCTTCAACTGTTAAATGGATAAGTAAAATGAGTGGTTCATTCATATCATGGAATATTACTCCATAATACCAATAAACAAACTGCTATCCATGCAGCAACGTGGACAAATCCAAAATTTATTATGCCAAGTAAACAAGGCAAGTCCCAACAGTTTCATAAGATAGGGTTTCATTTATATAACATAAACTAGTTACCAAGAGTTAGGGGTCAGAGAAGGAATAACTACAAAATGGCAGGAGAAAATGTGGGGAGCAATGGAATTCAGCTACTGACTGGATTGACTCAACATCCCACACACTATAAAAGCTGGCAAAGGATGGGTACCCATTTCTTGGGCTCTATTGTCCTATGCAAGATATTTGGCTTGCAACCCAAAATTAAAAGATACACAAAGAACCAAGAATAAACCACCATGAAGGCTAAGACATAGTAATTGATAAAACAAAACTCAGGTATGACATAAATACTGGAGCTTTCAGGGGGAATTTAGTATGATTATTACTAACATATTAAATCCTTGAAGGAAAATGTGGATAATAGGCATGAACAGTTAGGTAATTACATCAGAACAATGCAAACTGTAATAAGAAGAAAACTAGAAATGCTAGAATTTATTTATTTATTTATTTTGTGGACTGGGATTTGAACTCAGGTCTTAGTGCTGGCAAAGCAGGCACTCTACAGCTTGAGCCACACCTCCAGTCCATTTTGCTCTGGTTATTTTGGAGATGGGGGCGGCTCTCATGAACTATTTGCCCAAGCTGGCCTCGAACCATGATCCACTGTGAATCACCGGTGCCTGGCAAATTTAATGCAATACCAGACATTAAGAATATGTTGGATGGACTCATCAGGAGATGAATCATGGCAAAGAAAGGAATTACTGAAATTATATATAACTAAGAAATGAAACACAAAGAGAAAAATAGAAGGAGACAGAAAAGAGTATCTAAGAGGTATGGGAAAATACCAGTCTAACCATGCAACTGGAATGCAGCAGGAAAAAGAGAGAATTTGGGGGAAAACACAGTTGAAGATATGATGATAAATAATTTCCCTAAAGTAATGAGAAAGACCAAGCATAAGTCCAAGAAACTCAGAGAACCTCAAATACAGTAAACACCAAAAGAAGAAGAGGAAGAGGAGCCAAACATACTATGTGCAAACAGATGACTAGCAACTGTAAAAGGAAAATATTGAAAGAAGTAAGATCTTTAAAATTACATTACATACAGAAAAACAAAGATGGAAACACAAAAGACTTCTCGTGAGAATGCGTCCAAGACAAAAGACTCTTTCCACTCAGCGATTCGACATCTAGGAATATAGGCTAGAAAAACTTTCCTAAAAAGTTCTTTGGGCAGCACTATTTGTAATAGGAAAAAAAAGTCAGCTATTTAAATGTCCATCAAAAGGAGAATAAAAAAATACATTGTGGAATATGAATGTCACGAAATTTAATTAAATGAAATGAGTTACATAGCTACAATAACCAACACACAGATTTCTCAAAACCCTAATTTCATACAAAAAACAATTTGCAAGATGTATAGTATGATAATTAACATGAAAATAATTAACATACACATATATAACATAGTATGATGTTTATCTAAAATTTGAAGCATATAAGATTATTTTGTGATATTTCCACATACACATAAATATGTTAAATATATAATAACTCTTTATATTTATATAGGAAAAGTACAAAAGCATGCATGAGCGTAAAGTCTCTCCCTCCAGAGAGAGAAAGGAATAGAACTAAGAATGTTAACACAAGGGCTGGAAGGCAGAGCACGTGCTTAGCGTGCTTAAGACCCTGGGCTCAATCCTCGGCACCAAAAAAAAGGAAAGAAGATTAACATAAGGATTTTAACCTATTTTCAAATGGGAAGTAAATGTACCATGGTTTACGATTTTATAAAGCCAGGTGTTCTGAATAGAGTTGTTTGTGTTACTTTCTAGTCTTCACAAATTTGAAATATTTAATAGCAAAAAAAGAAGAAAGGAAACAAAGCAATAGTAATTTGCAGGTGATGAGATTATATAACAATAACAAGAGAGAAACCATTAGAATCATAAAAAAAGATCAGTAAGACATGAAATAGACACATAAAAGTCAATGGGATTCCAATTTTTTGCAATAACATGCAAACATTTGACAGGAGGAAAGAAATCCTATTTTGTGTGGCCAAAGTACAAAATATCTGACTCTCCACAAGAACTATGTAGGACCTATATTGAGTGACTATGAACTGTGGTACACATCCTATATTAATATCATCAGTTTCCAATGTGGAGTCTGATCCTTGCACAGTTCAGGCATGTGCCCAGGATGGCTCAGCTAGCAACTGATCATCAAGGCTGGAACCCAGTCCTGGCTACTTTCTCAAACCTAGAAGCCAGAAAATGCCTTGCTCACTGGCCACCACTGGCATTTCCAAGGAACTTTACTGTACTGAAATTGGCCCCACTGTAGCTGAAAAAAAATTTATTCATGCCCCACTAAAAAGAGCCTCAGCAGTGAAGGTGACATTTCAGTGCAGTGTGTGAGGTCAACCTTCTCTTTGCTGCTTGTTCATTGCTGTCTTGTGCTCTCTTGCTCTCGCTCTCTCTCTCCCTCCCCACCCCCACACCACCATGGGTACTGTACTATGGCCTCATTTTAGAGGTGAATCTTGCAGGCTTCCTTTTAATCCTCAGCTACTCACTTTTGACGTTTAATCAAAACTCAGGAAAGCGTTTCTGTTCTCCACCTGTAAATCATCTGCGAGGATCCAACCCTGGGTGCTCAAAACACAGAACTGACTTTCCTTTCTGTGATGAGGAAACCCAAGGATTAGGACATTGCTTCCAGGGTCATGACCTATCACACACACAGAATTCAGGCTCATCTGCCTGATATCCAAGGAGTTTAAGTCAAGAGAATGTCTTTCCCCTCCTATTCCTCACAGAAGTCAGCCCTATGAAACAGAGATTTCTCCCCAACAGGAGAGGATAAGGTAACTAATTAATTAGTTAATACATACTTAAGAATGAGAGTGATCCTGTTTTTAATTAATAATAATAAGGGAGATTTGCCCTGACATTTTTGACTCAGGATATAAAACATGAACTTATTCTTTTGCTTTTCTTCCAAAAATAAACCTGAAGCAAAGGGTATTTGGAAACTCATTGCTAACAGGTCCCATAAGATGCCCCAAGGGGGCAGAAACTGGCCAAAACCAGTCTGTAGCCTCTCATTTCTCCATGGGACCAAAGAGATTACTTTCACAGCAGAATGAGGTTTAGATTTCAATAGGATTTCCTGTATTGACAAATACACAGATGAAGTCTGAAGCCCTATTTACACAGAGGCCATTTCCCCCTATGTGTGATAGTCAATAAAATAAATAATTTTCACCCAAGTTTTAAAACAGCAAAGTGTGGGTAGTGTAAAAAGGGAATACTCCCCCAAAGGAAAGAAAGCCCATCCCCCAAAGAAGCTAGAGACCAACTAGTTATTCATATTTAACTTCTCAGGCTTGGGGTTTTCAAAAATGAGGTGTCTTCCACCTCATCACCAGCAGATGGCTGCACATGGCAAGAAAAGTGTATTTCTTAAATCAGTTTCAAAGGTTCCTAATCACCCCAAGGAGAAAAATACGTTTTGTATCAAACAATTTTCTAGGAGGAAAAATTACAGACTCCAAGCAATAGTGGATTTACTTTTATATTGGCTGGTTTAAAAACATAGAACCTACAATGAACTCATTAAAAGTTTTGAAGGAATTTATATTTCAATAATTACACAAAACATCTATGTGCATTAGAAACACAGAAGCCTGGTGAAATATGTGTATGAAGAGTATTTACGTCTACACTCAGACACTTCTTGCAATATCTGTGCATTCTGAGCCCTTGACACTTAACTCCATGGTCCCCAGGCATCCTAATCTGCAAAGTGAAATCACTGCTTTTATCAGATCTCACTTCCTTCTCACCTCCACCCAGCCACTTGCTAAAAGCCTAGGAAATCTGAGAGAAGTTTTGGCAATACTGGGATTTGAACTCGGGGTCTTGCACTTGTTAGGCAAGTGTTCTATCATTTGAGCCAAGCACCCAGCCCTTTTTACTTCATTTTTTTTCAGAGAGGGTTTCTTGCTTTTGCCCAGGACCAGCATTCAGATCCGTCTCCCATATAGCTAGTGTGCACCACCATACCTGACCCCTGAAACTGAGAAAAGCCAAAAAGACAGAGTGGACCCAAAGTCCCACTTCTGCAGACCTAAGTCTTAGAACTCCAAGACCTGGCACTGTGGTTAATTTTTGGTTTGGTTGGTTGGTTTCTAGAGACAGAGTCTCACTATGTAGCCCAGGCTGGCCTTGAACTGGAGATTCTCCTGCCTCAGCCTCCCAAACACTGGGATTAGAGGCATACACCACCACGCCTGGCCAGTTAATTTTTTAAGGCAGAAGGTGTATGAATCAGGACCCTGTGGGAATGGAGGGTTCCCCAGCGAGACAATATTTGTAGTTGATGGTATTCTTATAAAATCTAGAATCTGAACACCTGGCTGGGGTGGGAGAGAGAGCTTCTTATTTACATAAGCTATGTGACCTTGAGAAAGTTACTCAGCTCTTTCGGTTTCTGCTTCCTCACCTGTAAAACAAAGAGCATATTTCTGATCTCTTGGAGTTTTTTGAGGATTAAATGAGAATTTTGGTCGGGCAGCTATGACAGTTGACTGTCACAGAGAAGTAAGTGCTCAGTGACGTTGGCTTCCATAGTTATTGTAATTGGCATTATTGTCATTACTCTCGTTTCACTATCAAAACAGAGCATGACTCAACTTTGGGAGCTTCATAAATGAATTCACTGAGCTCATCTCTGCAGAGAATGACATCATATCATGTGACCTCATGGTGGTATCTACTCACCCATGATGTCTGTTAGTTTTCAACATTTCCAAAGTGTTCTCATAAAGCCAGAACAACATTTCTTCCTTGGTGTGTAACAGTGGCTCTCTGGACTTGTATGACAGTGCTCAGAGGGTGAAGCATCTTAAGGAAACAGCCCCTTAACCCCAACCAGCCCTGGACCTTCCACCCTAAAGTATCCATTCTCTGCATGTGATAGTGACTCCTTTTAATGAAAGGATCAGGTTCTCAGGAAAGATGGCTTGAATACCTCAGTCAAATGGCTCCACCTTGGATGAATTCACCTATAGCCAGGGGATGACTAGGGTCAGCATAATACTGACTTCACCACCAGAATTATTGTGCCTCTAGCCACCATGATGGGTAGTGATGAATGCAACACTTTCGGAGCTCATTCCCTCCCTTACTGAACTCTCATCTTTCCCATGGCTCTCCCGCAAGGGCAGCCCAAGGGACTGTCACACTGAGGAAAGCCTATGGTCACACACTTACTTATCATTCACAAGTTTCCCATGTTGGTGAATCTGATTTTCCATCGTGAAGTTGATGGTGGCACCATACACATGCTCACCAAAAAACACCTTCATTTTAGATTTGTATTCTTCATCTTGAAAATACCGGATCATATCAGGGAACCAAACCGTCAGCCCATAGTAACTGTAACAGAGAAGACAGAATGTCTAAGCAATAAATGATTAATTCCTTCCGGGTCACAGTCTGCATTCCTGACTTGATGTAGATCAGAGGTAGTGATTTGGTTCCTAATTAGAAAATCTAATAATATAAAACTCATCACATTAGTAGGGCAAAGGAAAAAATCATTACAGTCTTCACAGATGTTGAAAGGGCATTGATTGGAAAAAAATCCTTCCTGATTAAAAAAACACACACTAATAGATTATGGGCTGATAGACACTTCCTTAACACAAAGGAAAAAACAAATCTCAGCTCAAAAACTAGAATCTTAACGAACAAGCAAACACTACAGACCTTCCCTCAAATGTCAGGAACGAGAGGAGACGCCCATCAGAACTACGGCTATTTAACACTATACTGTAGATCTTAGCCAACTCTATTAAGACCTGAAAAGAACAAAGGAATATAAAATTGCAAAGCAAGAGGTAAAACCATCCTTACTGACAAATTATATGATTTTATGCCTGAAAAATCCAAGATAACCAACTCCAAAAACATATAAAAAAGATGCTCAATTCTATTGATGATAAGAAAAATACAAATTAAAAGCACACTATTGCTATTCACAGCTACCAGATTGTAAAAACCCCAAATTTTGCTAAAACACTCTGTTGGTGAGATTGTAGGTTGACAGGTGCTTTCCTAAATTTCTAAGAAAAGGACCTAATTATACAATACCATATGGAGGAGAACTAGTCAATGCCTAAAATATTACTGATGGATTTACCCCTTTTTGGCCCTTAATTTCACTTCTAGGAATCTATTCTAGGCTGATGAACCAGCCCAAATACAAAGTGGCTTGCAAACATGGCTATTCATTGTAGCATTGCTTGCAATAACAAAAATCTGGAAACTTCCTAAGGGTCTAGCAGGGAGGCCATGGGTGAATAAAGTGTGATAGTGTACCGTGGGGTGGTATCGGAGGGACTATGCCACTGTAAAGAAGGAGCCAGGTGCCACACCTATAATCCTAGCTATTTGGGAGGCTCGATAGGGAGGATTGCTGTTTGAGGCCAGCCCAGGCAGTGTTCACAAGACCCCATCTCAATCAATAGCTGGGTGCAGCACCACACACCTGTCATTCCAAACTAGGTGGGAGACTAAGATCAGGTGGATTGAAGTCCCAGGCCAGCCCAGGCCAAAAAAAAAAAAAAATTGCAAGGCCCCCATCCCAGTGGAAAAAACCTAGACATGGTGGCATGTGCCTGTCATCCCAGCAATGGTGGGAAGAATAAAACAGAATGGCAATCAAAGCTAGGCAAACAGCAAGAGCCTATCTCCAAAATAACCACAGCAAAAAGGACTGTAGGTGGGGCTCCAGAGATGGAGTGCCTGCCTCACAAGCAGAGTCCTGAGTTCAAACCCCAGTACCACCAAAAGAAAAAAAGAAAAGAAGAACGAAAACCTTGATTTACTAATAGGGATAGATTTCCAGAACATACCATTGAATGCAAAAGGCAAATGTAAAATGTGTTCCTTTGAATAAATATATATAATTATTTGCTTACATCTGCCCAAAGAATCACTGGAATGATAAACAGGAAAACAAAAGGTGATCACATACAGGAGGCAGAAGGGAGTGGGTGGAGAGAAAAGGAATAGATGAAAGATTTCTTTGTTGTTTCAATATTTGAAATGCATTACCTTTTCAAACAAAAATTAAATTAAACATAAATATAAATAAAACATATTTAAAAAAACTGTCAGTGAACTAATTCCTAGTGCCCATCATATTTGGCTTTTCAAATGTTCTCTCCTAGTTGGGATTTGAGTGGACAAGGGTCCAATTAGTACCAGCACCTTTTCTGAGGGTTGACACCTGAACAGAATAATTTACTTCTTGGGTCCAGAAGGACAGATCTCCACGATTAAGTGTGAGATAACATTAGGCCTCCCACATTTCTCCCTATAAGCAAAGAAGTCATCAGAGCTCACTTGCTCTTCTGGGTTGAGGGAATGTGTTTTGGGGGCACAAGCAATTTTATAGATGGGAAAGATGGCTGGAGGGCAGCTGAGAAATTTTCTGTTAGTGTTATTAAAAAAAAAAAAGGAAGCACAGTAATTAACAATTAGCTAACAGTAGCAATTCCCAATACTGTGCTTTTTACTTGAAATTTGCTAAGGGGGAAGACCTAAGGTGTTCTCAACACACATGTGCGTGCATACACACATGCACACACACAGATACTAGAAAATAGTAACTTTATGACGTGAGAGACTAGTTCATTGGGTTGACTGTGGTCATTACATACACATACACATTTCACAGTGTATATCAAGACATGAAGTTGTATACTTTAAACATATGCAATTTCTATTAGTTAATTACACATCAGCGTAGATGGAGGAGGGAGCTCAGGGAAGGCAGCTTCCTCTTTGAGACATTTTCCCTTTCAACAGGGTGCTCAGGTGATCCCCAGTCATGAGAACTACCATGAGGCTGAAATGCCTCTTATTAAGAGAAGAGGTTTCCTCTCATAGAAGCCACTAGAGCGTGTACCTGTTACTGGCAGCCCAAGCACCCACCCTGATTAAAAAAAAATGTGAGTTCAGCCAGTTATAACCCTCAATGTATAAATGATGCAACCAAAGAATGGGGAGATTAAGGAACATTCAAGTAAGACAGAACTTACCTTACAGCCATGGTGAACCAGACCACAGCCAGAATCAGGGTGTTCATTCTGTAGGGCCCCAATACACAGTACAGAGCGTTATCCCAGACCTAAAAACCATATCAGAAAAGGACAGTTAAAGGAAGGAACATGGGATATGGACAAGCTCATTTGTCAGATTTTCTAATAAATTGCCTGGGGCCTCATAGAAAGAATGGGCAACCCCGTGTCTCCCAGAAGGGGCAGTTCCAAACAAATCATAACAAAATAGGATTTTCTCTTCTCTTCTCTTCTCTTCTCTTCTTCTCTTCTCTTCTCTTCTCTTCTCTTCTCTTCTCTTCTCTTCTCTTCTCTTCTCTTCTTCTCTTCTCTTCTCTTCTCTTTCTTCTCTTCTCTTCTCCTCTCACTGGCTGGCCTCATACTCATTTGCCCTGGAAACATGGTGCTCCAGGAATGTGACTGAAAGCACACTGAGCTAGGATTCCCAAGCATTGAGTAACCTGAGTAGCAAGTTCTACTCCCTGCTTATGGGCAGGGGTCAGGAGCACCATCCAGTCTAAACAGACTCAATAGGCTGGCCAGCTGCCTCAGTGCCTGACAGATGACTCATTTCCTGCCTGTAGGACCAGTACCCTGGAAAAATACCCTGCCACTGATGAAGAATCCTTCTCAAAAAATCACTGAAAATTCTCAGGGAGCAATTGATTTCACTCACTTCTTCCTACCTAAGGACTGCTTAAAGAGAAGTCGCTAGAGAGAAGGCTATTTATTCAGGTTAGCCAAAATCCTGGCCTTGAAAAACAAGAACAGAGAAAAGACACGAGCAAAAAACAGTGCACACGGCAAGTTTGAGACAGACATGGGCAGGACCCAAACATCCCCAACCAGGACTCCTTCCTCTCCATCATGCTACCTTGCTTGCTGCTGGTGATGACAGTCTTTATTCTTTACTCAGTAAGGTTTTAGACTCCCATAGAGTCACCCTCTCATTCAACACAGGGTCCCTAAATCATACCTGCTTGAAAGTGGTCGTGAATCTGACCAGCCAGCGCTGGTACCAAGTTCCTGTTGAACTTTGGATCTCAATGAATTCATCCATTTGCTTGGGAGTTTTGATGTGGGAAACCTGGAAAGCAAAGACAGGCATGTCTTTTCAATGTTTAGTTTAATGTAGTTGACTTTATTGACTTATCTAAGCAAGCTAAAGGAGTGTTTGGTGACCCTCTAGTTCTGTGATTTGGCCACAAGTTAACCAAAGGTGGACCTGGCGTCTTCCAGGGATCCTTCTCAGGTGGATATGAACCACTGCAGACAAACTGGAACCTTTTAATTAACTCATGCCTTTGAGAAATTCATATTAGTGGGTCCCTAATATGTTGAATTCCCATTTGCATCTGCTTTGCCCACAATGAAGTTGACATCACCTTAAAATTTACAACTCTAGCTCTTTCTGTAAGGGACCTGAAGTAACCTGTGTGGTTGGTTATTCTCTTTACCCAGAAAACATCATAAAATCATGCAAATCTGGACAGCTCACTCATGCTTGAGCATGAGGTCTGTGAGAGCTTGGTTATGCTACTTTGAACCCTGGTCATTAGGCTCTTAAACTTTTGGGAGTGCAAGAGTTGGGCTAAAGCCAAACTTTCAGGAAGTTCCCAGTCTACAAACCCACCATGAACTCCCTGGGCTCGCCCTACCATTCCCAGATAAACAGCCTCTGTAAATGCTCTTTTGTCTGGGGTCAGCCAGGAAACTGGAGAACTTACAATAGACTATGCAGTAGAAAGCTTGGCTGGAGCTCAGCTTTAAGTAACCCTCTCTCCCAAGGATATCATGAACCCCAGCTCCTGCCATAGGATGCCAGCGGGAAAGACTGACACCAAATCAGAAAGTGCCTTGTAAGCCAGCTCATTAAGACACTCAGATGGAAATTTTTCTTTGCTTTGCTCCTTAGGAAAATAACACCCCATACCCTAAGGATTTGGGAGTGGGTGTGTTGATGACTTCAAGCACAGCTACACTAATTTACAATTAATTAGAATACTTGTTTTTAATTCTGTCTAGATTAGCATATGGCCTTTACCACCACCATCACCCATCCCTTCAAAACACAGGTTCTCAATGAAATGTGTCAACTCCCTCCCCTGCAAAAGTTTCTCTGGGGACACCTTCCAGGTGTGGTTATGCAGAAGCTCGTGAGGCAGAGAATGGAGTTTGTGAAACCTGGGGCTCATAGGAGAAGTGAGGAGGAAAGCACCAGCCTTAGCCTCGAGCACTAACTGGAACTCTGAGCTGCCCTGGGCTCGGCCACTTAGGCTACTGAGTATATTTATGAGAGATACATGTGAGAAGGAGCACAAAGGGACCAAGCAGCTTACTCCATCAAGTTGGGCTGATAGAGCTACCTGAGGTCAGTCAACACTTTCTGGTTCTTTCTTCTCTCCTTCTTTTCTTCCCTCCCTCCCTTCTTCCCCACCCTCCCTCCCTTCTTCCTTCCGTCCTTTATTCCTTCCTTCTGTTGGGTCTGGAGGATCAGAAGACAAAAATGAGCCCGTGTTCCCACCCCCCATGAGAGCACTGTGAGCCCTACATCCTGTAAAGGGACATGCAGTGTCACAAGTCATGGCCCCCTGGGGACGCCTCAAAATGCCACAAGGCCGAGAAACAGGAGGCTTTCGCAGGACTGAGTACATGTTCCTACAGAGATGTGTTAAAAGACCACTCCACCCCGACTCCTGACTCCCTCCCAAGCAGAAAGAACCAAATAAAAAACCTCTCTATGTAAACAACAGAGAGCTACCGATTTCTGGGTTCCCTGTCCATCTCTAGGGGCAGCTTGTCCTTTCTCTCTAATAAATCCTAATTTGTGTGCAGTCTTGTTGTCTCATGAGCCAGTCCGCTGCCTCACAAACCAATTCTTTGACCCATGGAGCATGAACTCTTGACATCAGCCCACAACACTTCCTTTCCTCCCTCTTTCCTTCCCTCCCTCCATCCTTCCTTCCTTTCCTCCCCACCTTCTTCCTTCTTTCCTTCATCCCTGGCCCATGCAGTCACCCACTTCTACACAAGTCATGTGATCATCAAGTTAGTATGGATTACTGTACTTAACAACGTTTTTAGTTCCATTTTCCTGTTGGGTAAAGAACTACTAAAAGCAACAGTTATGCTCAGGACCTTAGAACCGACGTGTATGCTGAGATCACACACAATCCTAACATTTCATAACCCTCAGCTCATTAATTTCTCCCTGAACTTTCTTCTCTGGGATGTACTCCAATCCCTGATGTGAGGAACTCTCCTCTTGGAGTGAAGGCTTACCTTTGCATTTGGAAATTGGAGTTTTTATTGGTTTGCAAGCTGAGATCCCATTCCTCAACATCAGCTGCTTGCATTTATTAAAATAATTAAACAGGAGGCCATTAGACCGAGGTGACTCTAATGTCCATAGCTCCACAGATGGAGTCTAACTCAGAATTCCAAAGAAAATGATACTTAAAACCCAGTCAACCACAGGCATCCAACTGGCACTGATTATATCACTTCAGCTTCCCACCAAGATAGTCCAAATAAGGCAACTGTTCAGATGTCAACCGATCTGTTTCCACTGTCACCCTATAAAAGGGTGAGCTCTTTCAGTGGACCCAGAACCATTTGTGACTTGGAGTTGCTGATTCATAAATCACTTCCTGCTCAGATAAACTTTTAAAAATTTTAACATGTCAGAAAAAGTTGTCAAGAGAGAATGTGGCATCACTTTTTTTAGAAAGGATTCCCTGGAGGGCAAGGCGAGTTGGTTGATCTGGAAGTGGTCCTTCCAGATGCAATAAGCAGGAAGTGTAGGAAAACACCTCTGTAAAGCAGCTGCAACACAAGGTGATGAAGGACAAAATGAAGGTCAAGAAGAGGTTATAGTTTACTTGGGAAAGACAATGGCAAACACACAGAATGGGTATGGAGGAATTTTCTACCAAGACTCCTTTAGGAGAATCTCTGTTAGTTTTGAATAAATCTGTTTGGTAAACTACTTGAGGTACTGAGGAATCACAGGGGAGACTCACTCAGTCTTGAAGGACCATTAACTCATAAATGTTTGTATGGGTGATGTGTGTCTCTGTACCTGTATGTGTATTTCATATGAGGCTGATGTGGTATAAAAAATATCCAGCTGATGTGGACTCAGAGGCTGCAGGCAGAGAAAGAATGCCTATAAAAATGTTTCCCAGGAATAAGGAGGAGCTCAGAGAGAAAGTTGGACTTCTCCCAGCTGTGGAATGGGGCGGGGAGGAGGGCTGCTGGAATAACAAAAGTGTATCCGGATCCCAGTGGGCAAGGGGCTCCTACCAACATCTGGTTTCTGCGCCTGCTGTTGCACCACAATCCATTACAGAGAGCGCTGGGAGTGAATGAATTGGGAGAACCATTTTTACCCATGACATCTTTCACCTGGAGTGGTTCTGTTAATTGTACTTCTTAAATTTGTGTAGTAAAAGTATTGATCTCTTATTTTAGATATTTTAGGAGCATTGGATTTGGGAAAAATATGATCAGGTTTCTATAAAGTTTATAATGAGATAATTTATGAAAATGTCATAACTTTAAATAGTTAACATCTTATAACACTCTAAGTCAGGCACTGTTTGGATGCTCTATTTAATCTTCACAATAACTGTACTCATAGATACTATTATGCTGCTTTTCCCAATGTAGAAACTGAGGCACAGAGAGCACCTTGCTGAATTCCATACAATGAGAGAGAGTATCAAATTACGATTTGAACCCAGACTGCCACCATATGATCCTGCCTAAGATTCAGGGGTCTTTTGGAGAAGCTAACAAGGGCAAATATTTCACTATAGACTGTGATTATGTTAGCTAAAGAATCAAAAGCATTGAATCATAGTTAGGTGGGAGTTAATCCGGGAGACTTCCCAGAGGAGATGGATTTGAAGTGAGTGTTAAAGGAAATTATGGAAGCAGTGCACAGAGCTGCTGTTCCTTGGGGTTGGTCACAGAGCATGGCAGGTAGGAACACTGATTTCTGTAACAGGACATCTTCATGGAAATTGCCACTTAGTGGTTTCCTACTTTTTAAACAAATAAGAAACAAAAGTTGGGCTAACAGCCAATGCTGGTAAGAGTATTGCTGTGACATTGAAAAGTGACAGAACGCCATGAGATGCAATTAGGTGATATAGTTCAAGAACTCTAAAAATATCCAAGTTCCTTGAGCCAGTAATTTTATTTCTAAGAGACTACTCAGAAAATAAACTCGGAACATGAAGGGGAAGGAGCCATGTGCCTGAGAAAGTTATTGCAATAATGTTTATAGAAACAAGGTAATAAAACAATTAAATAAGACTCTAACATTAGAAACATATTGAAGAAAATGTGCTAATGTTCCTAATATTAATGTTGATTAAAATGATGGTTAGGAGAGGGTAACGAGGGAAATGATGGGTATGAATACAAAATGCTTATAAGTGCTGTGGAATATGCAGATGTAAATATATGTATATATACTTATGCCCATTTGAATATAGCTAGTTCTTTGGGGGCTTTTTTGTTTTGTTTTGTTTTTGGTAGTACTGGGGTTTGAACTCAGGGCTTCATGCTTGCTAGAAAGGCACTCTACCACTTGAGCCACCCACCATCCCTGTTTTGCACTGCATATTTTTCAAGATAGGGTCTCGTGAACTATTTGCCCAGGCTGGCTTCCTCCTGATCTCTATATCCTGAGTAGCTAGGATTACAGCCGTGAGCTACCAGTGCCCAACTGCTAGTTTTTTCTATTGTCATTTTCTAACAATTCTACCTAAGGAAAAACCTAGACAGATATCCATCAAAACGTAAAGAATAATTATGACAAAATGATATGAATATGAGGTATGAAGGTGATATAAATATTAAAAGAATAATTATCTCTTGACAAAACTGCTGTTTCATGAACCAAACAGCAGAGAAGCCCCCTTGCTGACATAGGCACACACTCACCGTGAACACCTTCTCCGGGGCCCCTTTGGCTCTCATGTTGGTGTCGTGAACTTGCTTGAGAATCATCCAGGCTTCGTCATGTTTGCCCATCTGGTAAAACCAAAGAACAATGCATGAAAACCCATTGCTGAATATGCTATGTGATCATTAGGGGTGGAAAATCCCACAAAACCAAAAGAGGATGCTGAAGCCTGGGTCTGGGGAGATTGGACCCATTCCTTCCTAGGGTTTGTGAAAGACTAGGTCAAGTTTTCAACTCCAGCCATCTTGGAAGGATAATGAGGCTGTACCATCAAGATGTAGGTGCCAGATATTACTATTGTTATCCACTATGAACTACTGACAGTTAATAAGGTCAAATGGATGGAGGGATGGGAGCCGTGCTCCTCTCAGATTGGTATGTTATGGGTTGAAGTCCTAACCCCAACAACCTCAGAAGGTGACCTAATTTGGAAAGAACATTACTACAGATGTAATTAGTTAACATGAGGTCATCCTGGGGAGGGATGGGCCTCTAATCCAACTTGACTGGTGTCCTTATAAGACAGCATTATGAAGACCCACAGACACACAGGGAGAACACTACAAATTGAGTGATGCTGCTATAAACAGGGAACAGCAAAAATTGCCTACAATCCACCAGGATCTGCAAAAGGGAAGGAAGGACTCTCCCCTGCCTGTATCAGAGGGAGGATTTTCTTGCTGATACCTTGGTTTGGAAATTCTAGCTCTCAAACTGTGAAATCAATTTGTTATTTAAAGTCCATCCATTTGTGGTACTGTGTTACAGTGTCCCTAAGAAACGAATATACAACAAAAGGTAAATTTTGAGGTGGCCAGGTTAGAAAGCTCCCTGTGTGTGTCTGATCAATAGGACGTTCAACATGGAGGATACTCTGCAGAAAGCTCGGGAAGGAAGCAGTGCAGTGGACTCTGTGGACTTGGGCTGTGAGAGCCTAACCTACCCTGCCAGCTCCTATCTTCTCTGACCACTGCATGCATTAGAGTCCTCCAGGATGGAAAGGACTGGCAGGATCATCTCTTGGGCCCTGGGGCAGCTTTCTAGTGAATAGGTAGCACTGCACCGCTAAGAGTGCTGAATGCCCTGGGAGCAGTGACAAGTTTTACCATACAGCTCAATGCCACTCATCTGAAAAAACAGCATGAAGATTAGAGGGCCTACCAACCAGGACCTCTTGGCGGGGGGGTGGGGGGGCAGACTCACCTCCAGCAGAAACCTGGGGCTCTCTGGCATGAACTTCAGAGCTACCATGGACACGGTGCAGGGCAGAGCACAGACGATGACAAACACTCTCCAGCTGTGGAAATGGTAATTGGTGCCCATGCTGAAGCCCCAGCCTGTGAAGAAGCAGAGGGTTTGTAGCACTCGGTGTTTCCTGCTGCAAAAGCCACAGCACCAGCTCTTAAGCTTAAGGGCATTGAGCATCGCCCAGGGAGCTGGTCACAATGAATACTCCCAAGCTGCACCCCCAAAGTTGTGCTGCATAGTCTGGGATAGGAGCTGGGAATCTGCATGTGCAAAACCCCAGGTCCAGGCCTGACCTGACATTTACAGAGCCTTGGATAAGAGTACAAATAGAACATCACATATATCTATATAAGCATTAAATTTTAAGTAAATGAACTAAATGCTAAATAAAAGATGTTCTTGACATATTTTGACAAATGACAGCCTAGAATTATACCCATCATAGTCAGATGCCCTTTTCCTTTCCCAGCTCCTCCTGCAGAGCAAAGACCCCATGTTGACATGTGTGGACACTCTGTACACTGCCAAGATAAGAGGTGCTCTTGCTTCAGTCCACTTAGTGGGAATTTTGGGGTCCTGAGCATGATCTGGTTGGGAGGTGGGTCAGGGCTTCAGGAATCCCTTTGTCTCATCAGAAGGACAGGGCAGGCCCAGAACTAGGGGAGGCCTCCCACTTAAGTCAAAAGATGATACATCTCCAGATGACTACAATGCAAAGGACCACAGGACCACACCTTAAAAAATATAAGTCTCAATAGGACTGCATAAATTCTTTTCTGAGAAACTGAACAGCTCCATTCAAAGGAATCTCACCATCATTGAAACAGGAAGCCACTAAGTCCCTATTCAGCTGTCATTATGAAAAGCATTGCTAAACTTCGTTTTCAAAAGTTACACTCAAGCACTATTTTTTAATACCCTCGTGGGTGGCCAGCTTCCCTTTGTTAAGGGGCAGTAACACGCTGGGAAGAGCCTGGGCTTTTACAGTCCTAAAATCAGAGTTGAAATCCTGGCTTTATCACATCAGCATCATAGCAGGTAGAATGCAAACAGTGAGAGCTCCACAGATGTGCTATGTGTGAAAGATCCTGGAAACCATAACAACTCACCTGCCTTTGCAGGTAGATCTGATTTTTTTTTTCTCTTCAGAAATAGATACAGGACATTTAGTGTCAAGGATGTTGAATAAAATGGATGGATTTCAGCAGAGATCAGCAAAAGAATTATTTTCAAAAAGAAAAAAGTCAGACTGAGGTTATAAAATAAATTGATGTAACTCAATGTATCTTTGAAAACAATTCCAACAGCATTTTTAAAAGGCAAAACTATATAAGTAAATACATTGATTGCTAAAATTTAGAGGGTAATAATTATTTGGATATAAAATTTCTAGTTCCTTTACTTGATAATATACCCTATGGCTGACTCCAGTGGTGGGAAGCTTATGTCGAATTTTCTATGACTCCCCATTATGGTACAACTTGTTCTACCTGCAGTTGACCCCTAACCAATGCCTGCTGTACCTACAGATGTTTTTTTCCCTCTACCTTCACTGTTAAAGGACCAGGCAGAAGGAATCCAGGTGGTGAGATGTAGGACTGTGTGTGGCCACAGCAGTGGAACACACACCTCATCCAACACTCAACCAGAGTCAAATCTCTTTCTGTACGCTTGGTCTCGTCTCATCTCACTGGATTTTGTTTGTTCATTTTAATTTTAATCAAAAACCCTTTCCTTCTTCCTGGGAGTAACACTAGAAAGAGGAACATAAAACCATAGCAATATTCATACATTTTTCAGGCATCATTAAAAGTAAAGTTGATCAAAACAACACAGCAAACTCAGGATAGCCAGGAAATAGGGACAGAAGTGAGGATATTTATAAAAATCTGCCTTGGAAAGATTTTTCTCTTTATGATTATATGTATAAATGATCCAAAATCAATTTTTCCCTCATGTTTCCATGGTTTTTATGGTGATTTCAGTAATCTGCATGTATTGCATTCGTTAGGCACATCTTTCAGGTTATAAATTGAATAAAATTAAATGGTGAACTGCTTCCAAATATTTGGAACAATATTAATTTCGAGGCAGGCATTGTTCTGTTCACTGACCTTTTCGCTTGCCCTACTTTTCTTTGTCAGGATTTCACAAACATCTGGTGATCTGGCTACAATGAAAATTAATCTTCTATACTGTATCCATTTTTTTTCTGGGCTGTGCCCATGAATTCCTAGGCAAACATTCTGAATTTTGTAATTTTCTGTCTCAATGAGTCAGTCATTTAAATTTCTGATGCCAAGACCCTCCATCATTCATTTTTGCAAAAGGAACTAAACTGTTTACACAAGCCATCCTTGAACAAACATTAGTCTCCTTTCTACAGTTACCCTTGCATTTGTTAGAGGATTAATGTCTTAGACATATTGAGAAATATCATCACATGTCTGGCTTCTTGTGGACAAAACATCTGGTCCTGATAAAATGGAACTTAAAATAAATAATCACTCTTGTTATTCTGTGACTCCAGTTTACCATATTTCTAGAATGGGTTTCCACCCAGCTGATGCCAGTTTTGATTAAGTCTCTATTTCAAAACAGAGTGGTTTCTTACAGACATATAAATAAGAAAATGCCCTGTCCATTTGGTATAAATTATTTAACCACAAGCGCTATTGTTGGTCAGCAGTGATCAGCCAACAGCCGTATGGCCCTTCTGCCATGGGCTCTCATTTGGTCTCCATGCTGTTCTTGCTTTCTTAGAAACCAGACACTTAGATATTGCAGTGTGTGTCTGTGTATGTGTGTGTAAAGTGAGGCTAAAAATAATGCACTTAGTAGTGACTACTGGATATCTACCCTCACAACTTCCTTCCTTCCCTTCTTCCATACTTATGTGGCCGTCATATGGTTTGGGTGAGACTGATCAGTACCAGGGATAAGGAAGAAAGTTTATGTAAACCATTCAGGACCTGCATCCTGTGGAATATAGTGATTGGTTGAGATGGGCACACAACCTAACTGACCCAGTCATAGGGAAGTCAAAGACCTCTGGTCATTGGATGAGTGTGAGGACATGTTTTTTTGTGTGTAGCAAGCACCAAAACCTAGAATTGCTACTGCTTAATGGAGGGAAGCTAGCCTGAGTACTAGAACCATCTTAAAAATGTTCTCAACAGTTTATGCATACTGGGAATTGGCTGAATACATAGGCTGGCAGGGACTGTGCAGTTAGTTGCTATTGCTTCCTCTTCTCCATTGTATAGGTGAAGGAGCCAAGGCTCCTCTCCTTCACCTATACAAATGAAGTCAGTCATTTGCCTCTCATCACACAGCAGCACAAATTTGATTCAGCTTTTATTCAGATTATATTATGTCTTCCCCCATATGAATGAAGTTTTTCATTCACTTCATTTAAATGTGGAAATAGTTTCTTGGTGTTAACACAGTTGGATAGATTAAGAGAGGAAATAACACATCAAGAATTGTGGGGAATAAAAGCAATTTCTCAGAACAAAGTGACCCACAGCATAGTACATGAGAAATTAAAATGTGCATTTGTGTGAAGTATGGAATGCAGAACCTATACTAGAAGGGCACAATTTTGTATCTAAAATTATGGACAGCTGACTAGTGACAGAATTAGTGGCAAACTCCTCAACTCTATTTCACTATTCCTATGCATAATTCTCTGTTTCTGATACAAAATCCAGCAGGTTCTCAAATACCAGACTACTAGACATGGCAAAGACTACTTGATGTTCCAAAACTCTTTTTCTACTTTCAGGACACAGTTGGACTATACTTCCCAGCATCCATTGCAGTAGCGTGTGTCGTATCACAGAGGTGGGGCCATTGTAACATGAGCAGAAATGATGTCCTCCACCTCCTGACCTGCCCTTTAAAACACCAACACAGAAAGGCCCATGCTCTTTTCTCAAGCTACAGAACTGTGAAGTTAAAGATGGTGTGATCAGCCAGGCATGGTGGCTCACACTTTTAATCCTAGCTATTCAGGAGGTAAAGATGGGGAGGATCATGGTCCAAAGCCAGCCCAGGCAAAAAGTTCACAAAACCACACCTCAACCAGTAAAAAGCCAGGCATGGTAGTGCATGCCTTCAACTCAGCTACTCAAGAAGTACAAATAAGAGAATCACAGTCCATGCTGGCCTGGATATAAACTCGAGACCCTATCTCAAAAATAACCAAAGCAATAAAGGACTAGGGTGTGGGTCAGGTGGTAGAGAACCTGCTTAGCAAGTTTGAAGCCCTGAGTTCAACCCCACACTATCCCTCCCCACCAAAAAAGACAGTGAAATCAGCTGATGGAAGGAATTTGAGCTCCAGCATTACTGAAGGAGCAGAACCATCTGCAGACCAGAAATACCAGTGAGAATTTACAGCAGAGAAACTTCTATTGTGTTTAACCACTGAGATTTTAGCATCTATCAATTGATCACAGTAATATACCAATATCACTTTGACTAATATACCAGGTACTGTCCACATCCAAGCTTTTTCTTATAAAGATATACGTACAGCTTCCATTAGCACACAGTAGAGAGAGTCAGATTTAAAATGAAGAGGTAAACGGACAGAGAAATATTGGTAATCTTCAGGGAAAGTTGTCTGCTACTCCCTAGGGATCTGCAGGATTCTAAATCAGGACTCATAATCAGTGGCTTACCAAAAATGCTTTTGACGGATTTGATGGTACTACCAGTATTCTCAAAAGGCATAACGAAATTCAAAACCACTGTCTTCTCTTCACTACTCTCAACAAAACCAACAGTAACCGTTCATCTTCCCAGGTCTCTGTCCAGAGATTACAGTTTTCACGACTGTCTAGGATAAATAAGATTGTCCCAGCTGAAACCAAGACATCATCTACAAGGGCTGCCCCACTTCAGTAGCTACACAAGAGTGACATTAGGCACAAGAATGGAAGGTGTGCAAGTGTGCCACACCTGGAGGGACACCAAAATGCTAGATCCTGCCCACCGCATGCTAGAGACAAGTCATCGACTTCTCTTGACTTTTTGTTACATCTATCATCTATAAAATGGAGTTATCAAAGCCTGGCTTGCTAGAGGGAGGAAGACTGGAGGAGATAAAGGATAAAAAACTTTCAAGGTGAACATGGTGCAAACATTGTGTAGATTATGTTTCTAAATGGAAAAATGAGAACTGTTGAAACTATTCCAGGAATGGGGGATGGAGAGGAATAAAGGAGGATGATGAAAGGGATGAATCCAATTATGATATATTGTAAGAATTTTGTAAATGTCACAATGTACCCCCAGTACAACAATAATAAAAAATAAAATTAAATTAAAAAAAACCTTTCAAATAAAAGGAAGAAAAAGGGAAAGGGAGAGAAGGGAAGGGAAGGGGAGAGGACAGACCATATTATTTCTAAAAAGGCATGTGTACTGAAATTAATAACATGTCTGAAATGTGAAACACTCTTTAGGAAGATCAAGGTCATAAAGGAGCTATGTGTGAATACAGGGAGTAAGGCTGAGATCACACATTTGTGTGGATACAGGTACCAGGCTGTATAGAAACCAGGGCCCAGAGTTATTTTAAGACCAAGGCTCACCGTAGTGCGGAATGATGCTCCAGGCCATTGCAGATGCATAGATTCCCCCGGCCATCCAGAAGATGCCCAGCCAGCTGACGTGTTCTCCTCGTTTCTCCCGAGATAAAAATTCAGAAAAATAGGTAAAAACAATTGGCAGAGAGCCCCCAATCCTGCAGATAGAAAATGCCAGAAAGAAAGAATCAAGGCACATACTAAAAGTGATCATAGCAAAATCAAAGTTGCCTTATACTCCACCCTTAGATTCTGTAGTGAAATAACCCAAGAATTTGAAAGAGCAGCCAAGGAAGTTCCCTCTGTGTATGGCTATTGGGTTATTTTGACTTTATATTCTGACATTACAGCATAATTGTGCTGCTCACCTAAGGTTCAACTCTACTACAGAATTGTTAAAATAAAAAAACTCAGTTCAAGGTTTTCAGGAGGTACCAACAGAGCTAGAGTGCCAGAACAGATGGATCCTTGTTCTGGAAAGGCCAAGTCAAGGTCTTTGAGTCATACCCTATGCCTGAGATGAGTCGGCAGAAGAGAAAGGCGCCATAACCCTGCACGAAGGAGGAGAGAGAGGCGAAGGAGGCATTGATGGCGAGGGACATACTGAGGACTCTCTTTCTTCCCAGCTTATCGGCCAGACCCCCCAGGATGAAGGCCCCTGCCATCATCCCTAAGTAGACTATCAGCCCTGTGAAGAGAGGAGAGAGAGAGAGAGAGAGAGAGAGAGAGAGAGAGAGGATGGAGAGAAAAGACAAGACATTAGTGACTGTTTGATGTTTAGAAAATCTAATGATCCAAATTTTAACCCAGCCTAGAAATTCCATATCATAGACATAAAAAATGGGGTGTGTCAAGTTATCTATGGCAAATTAGAAGCTATAAAGTTGAGTTTTTACAAATGTTATTTCAAAAAAAATAGAATCACCAGTTTTCCATATATGTACACATGCCAACATAGGTTAACTGAAATCAGGATAGCTGTACCATTCTTAAAGAAAGATAATTCTTTTAGATGCATAATCCACAAAAGAGGGAAATGCTGTAATTTTACTTTTAAGCAAGAAAAGTGTTTGAACTAAAAAGTCCTCACCTAAGGGGTGATGTTTAAGTAGAAAATTTGGGAAGGAAGATAGCAGTGCAAGCGAAAACCACAATGGCCAACAGATCATTACCATCTTATTATCTTATTACACAACCATGAGTGGCCATTTCCAAGCCACAACCAATGCTCAGACCTCTTAGAGGAATATAGCATAAATGTACAGGATGTGAGATAAGCATCCAGTTTTTTATTCTTTTGTGTATGGATATTCAGTGTTCCCATTTATTGAAGAAACTGACCTTTCCCCATTCTGTTTTCTTGGCACCTTTGTCAAAGATCAAGTGACCATAAATTTGTGGACTTATTTCTAGATTCTCTATTCTGTTCCATTTGTCTATATATTTTATGCCAGTACCTTGACAGATTTATTGCTGGTGTTTATTTGGTTTTTTAATTTATTCCTATTTTGGAGGCTTTTTGGTTCTTTTGTGGGTTTTCATTTATTTATTATTTTTTATTAGTATATATGAATTTCACAAGGGGTTTCATTCTGATATTTCCATACATGCATAAAATGTTCTTTGATCAAATTCACCCCTCTACTGCTCTCCCTTATCCCCCCCTTTTTTTTACAATTTTAGTGCATTTCATTATTCTATTTTCATACATGCATTTAATGTACCTTGATCATATCGACCCTCCTCCCACCCTTTCCTTTCACACTCTACAGCTTTGAAGTGCATTTGAAATCAGATTGTGTATTGACATCAACTTTGTTCTTTTAGCTCAAGATTTTTTTTTTTTTTTTAGCTATTTGGTGTCTCCTGTGCTCCATAAAAAATTTAGGATTCTTTTTCTATTTCTGTGAAAAATTCCATTGGAAACTTGATTAGTATTGCATTTTAGGTCATTCTGGGTATTTTGGACATTTTAAGTACTAATTCTTCCAATCTATCAATTGTGTCTTCTTCAATTTCCTTCATCCATGTTTTATGGTTCTCAATGTACAGATCATTCACATCCATGGTTGAATTTATTCCTAAGTATTGTATGCTACTGTAAATGGCATCATTCTCTTAATTTCTTCTTCAGATAGCTTATGTTTGGGTACAGAAATCCTACTGAATTCTGCACATTGGTTTCTTATTCTGTTACTTCACTGGATTTGTTCACTAATTCTAACAGTTTTTTTCGTGGACTTTAGGATTTTCTGCATATAAAATCATGTTAAGCTGTCCTTGAAGGACAAATAAAACTTGGATTTCCATTTGGTGACTTCAGGAGTGCATTAAAGACAGTGGCTGCTGATATACAAAAGTCAGAAAAGGAAAAAGGAAGCCCAATGTGTTTGAGCAACTACTGGCCAGGAGTTTGGTGTATTCAGAGCATAGTAAGTGTGGGAGACACTGACGAGGATTTGAGATTGAAGTATACAGCAGAACCCAGATCATAAACAACTCTGTGTGTGTGTGTGTGTGAGAGAGAGAGAGAGAGAGAGAGAGAGAGAGAGAGAGAGAGAACGTGCACGTATGAGTGTGTGTATGTGTGGGATATGGATGCTTGCTTGTATGTGCGTGAGTCCATAAATCTGAGAGAGAGAAAAGAGAGACGGAGTTAGATGAGTGATCCAGAGATTGGCTGAGAACGAGTCTCTACACTGGCCCCACCTGAAGAAAAACACTAGTATTAAAAGTTCATTTTTCTTTTACTTCAATAAAGGCATCTTCAGCACTTCTCAAACTTTACTGTGCACCAAATCACCTGGGAAATCGCTTAAACTGTGTTTAAGTCATATTCGGAATCAGCAGGTCTGGGTGGGGCCTCAGATTCTGCAGCTCCTAAAAGCTCCCAGGTGAGGCTGGAGCTACTAGTCCAGGGACCAGACTTGCAGTAGAAAGAGGGTGGGGCTCACCTGTCCCCATTTAACCACAGTAAGGGATGATGATGATTGAGGATGCCAGCCTTGGGAACCAGAAATCTCATTTACAAGTTGTATGATTTGAGAGAAAAACCTCAAATGCACCTCATTCATAGACTGGTTACTGACTCTAAGTTGCCTTCCCATTCTTCTAATATATATATATATATATATATATCATAACAGATGAAAGTCTGTGGATTTCCTGGTTAGAAGATCTTCTGATTTAAAAACCTAAGTCCACATAGAAATGTCTAATTAAACTACGAGGGCCACACAAGATGTGTTTTGAATTGCTAAGCTACCCATTTGCAATTCCCACCATGAACAATGTGCTAAGAATTCAGTTATTGTCTCTCAGTTCCAAAGCCACCCTTCTAGATCCTATTTCTGAACCCTGGCTTTGTCAAGCCCTTCTCTGCTAGGCTCTTCTAGTAGGGGGCACTAGAAGGATGATTCTTTCTAGAAAAAGGAAGGCAGGACCTGAGTTTCCTTTCCTGTTAAGCTTCATAGAGAATTACTTCTCCCTGGCAGCTGCAATTCCTTCCATGGCAGTAGCTGAATCCAGTTAGCAGAAGCCACATCAGGCCCTACTCTCCCCTCCCACAACAGAACGAGCCAGCCAGGATCCCCTCTTCTGAGATCTGCAATACAGCTCCAGGAGACCCCTTCTCTGAGCTGCTAACTTACAATAAATCCAATCCCTCTGGTTATTTCTGCAGTCCTGCAGGTGGTAACTGCTCTCTGCTTTTACTCCCTCAGTGATGCTTTTTCAAAACATTTCAATTACCCAGTTAATAATTTTTATACCAAAGTCTCCCTTTCGAATAACAGGCATGCTTTCTGTCTCCTGTATTCTCTTTCTGAATTAGACACTTAGGTAAATTGACAAATCTTAGCAATTAGATATTGAATCCAATATCTGAGCCCCAAGAAGGCCCAGAACCTCCACGATGTCCCAGCATCTGCTGTCACTGCATTACTGGTCTCCTGGCGCAAAAGCTGGTGCTTTCACCAGCAAACCTTCCTGTCCAGGGCAACAAAGGTACCAGGGAGAACAAGAAGAGCTTCATAGATGTTCTCTTGGAGGCCAAGGAAGGAGGGATGGAAGAAAAACGAGTCTACCCACAAGGGAAGAGAAATATGAAATTAATGATGCCTCTGAACTGGCTGTGCTATTAAACTCATTTAAAATCTGTCTTTAGCAAAGAAATTAAGATAATAAATTTGGGAAATTGGAGTGCAATAGAGTTATCAAAAATTACTTTTGCATGAAGGAGATGAGGGACTAGTGAGAAAGCTGGAACTTCTCTCACACTTCAATTCCACTCAACAAGCTGAGTGCTGTATTAGGGAAACACCCCCCAGTGTGCAGAAATGAAAAACTATGATTGCTACTTGCAGAGTAGAGGCAATGATGTCAAAGGAAGGAAGGATGTGGAGGGATGGGAAAGGTTGGGCTCTCTGCCAACCCCCTCCACCCAACCCCAGTGCTGGGAATCAAACCCGCTGATCTACATCTCTGCCCCTTTTTCTTTTTTAAATGGGGTCTTGCTATGCAGCTCACGCTGGCTTTGAACCTTCCTCCTTCTTCCAAGTGTTGGGAGGAAAGGTTTTTAATCAGTGATAATGCAGCTAAGGAAATAGAACCTCTGTCCCTGGAGGACAGGGGAGCTTGCTCTGACAAGCACCATAAAAAGAAGAGCCCAGTCTTGAGACTGGGACAATCGAGTTGGGATCCTGACTCCATGACTGCCAGTAGTATGACCACAGGTACCCCATTCAATTTCCCTGACCGTTGTTGCCTCTTTGTAAAATACAGGCAATAATAGTCCTTTTGCAGAGTTGTTAGGATGACATAGGAGAGGGGCCTGAATGTATTGAGCAGGATGCCCGGCACAGTAAAAAGCAAATGCACAATCCATAAAAGACACTCTTGTTATTAGTAGTGCAGCTAAGAATTGTCTGTGCCCCTAGAAAACCACAGGCTAGACAAATGGATATAAGACAGTGGCATTTTAAAACCAAACCAACTATGTATTAAACGGATTTGAAGAAAGGGGATAGAGAACAGCAGGACTTATTTATAGCAGCGTGCCCTTTAAATACCTCCCTCTCTCTGTACCTGGAGAAGAAGCCAGGTTCCAATTAAATGCTTTCATGGACTAAAATGTTTTTCAAGTTTTCTCTAATAAAGCTTTAAGGGAGAAACTATTTCCCCTTAATCCTTATATTCCTAAATTCCAGACTAAATATAATCTCTTTAGAGAGACAACTCTGGTGCTCCAAATTGGAGCCATAAAATTAAAGGACCAGAGAATAAATACTTTACTTGTAAAATCTCCTATGGTCTCTTGTCACATCACTTTTTTTTTTTTTTTTGGTGGAACTAGGGGACTGGAGTTTGAACTCAGGGCTTCATGCTTGCAAAGCAGGCACACTACAATTTCAGCCACACCAACAGTCCATTTTGCTCTGGTTATTTTGAAGATGGGATCTTATGAACTATTTGCTCTGGCTAGCCTTGAACCGTGAGCCTTCCAATCTCAGCCTAGCAAGTAGTTAAGGAACAGGTGTGAGCCACTGGCACCCAGCTTACTTTCTTCTTCTTTCTAAATTCTCTGTATAGATATCTTAAACAAAAATGTCTTTTTTTGCAAAAATGGAGGCCAGGAAAGTAGAACAGGTCCTGTCTAGGGTTTGGTACCAGTGGGGGTAGGGGTATAAG